AAGGGTCATGACAAAAGAGGGAACGAGACAGCATAAATGGTCAAAAGTGATTTATTTAACAACAGAGTAACTAAACATAACTACTTAAATGTGGAAAATATAGCTCTGTAACATAAATAAACTCAAAACAAGATGTGGCAGTCGGGATGATCAGGCCATGGTTGACGTCTAGATTGCAGAGAAGGGAGTGTAGTTTGACCAAGTGGAGCTTTATCTCCCCTGGCTCACAGGTTCCAGGTGCACCCAATCAGCAATCACCTCAATAGAACAAAGATGATTAACAACCACACAGGTATCACTCCCACAGAGAGGCCTCACTGGATCACACAGGGCCCGTCACACCGGTTTGTCCCAAATTTCTCGGGGATTGCTGAGCCCCTCAATGCCCTGAAAAGAAAGGGCCGTGCATTTCATTGGTCACCCCAATGTCAACAAGCTTTTGAACAGTTGGAGTGGAGCTTTATCTCCAACTGTTCAAAGGTATCGCCTACCTTACCTCACATTCTGAGTCATCCCAACCTTGAACTTCCATTTATGTATACACGGATGCCAGCGACATCGGACTAGGTGCAGTTTTGACGCATCGGAAAGACCAGGGCTCAGAGCAGGTGATTGCCTACGGCAGTAGAACCTTGAATAAAGCCGAAACCAATTACTCTGCGACCGAGAAAGAATGCCTTGCCGTCATATGGGCTCTGGAAAGGTGGCAACATTACCTAGAACCCAAACTATTCACAGTGGTGACTGATCACTCAACCCTGCAATGTCAGGCCAACGGAGGGTTCAGACCTTCCAATCGGTGCCGCTACCATCTGGGAGGACCAGCATAAGGACCCGGTAATCCAAAAAATATTCCAAACACTGGCAGGAAATTATCAGTTGAAGAATCAGTACGAAGTAGTAGAGGATAAACTGTACCACACAACTCAGCTGAAGAGCGGCCAATGCCACTATCGGGTATGCATTCCTAGCAGTCTGATTTCAGCTGTCCTCCACCACTACCATTCAAATCCTATGAGTGGCCATATGGGTATTTACAAGACTTACCAAAGGGTGCATGACTTTGCATTTTGGCCTGGGATGTGGACTGATGTGAAGAATCACGTCAAAAGATGTGTGAAATGCCAAACACTCAAAGGGGAAAGTCGTAAACCTGCAGGAAAAATACAAGTCAGCACATCACATCCCAACGAAATGCTAGGGGTAGACATCATGGGGCCAATGCCCCGCAGTACCCTTCAGAATGAGTACCTTCTTGTCTTTGTGGACTATTTTACCCGCTAGGTGGAGCTGTTTCCTATGCGGAATGCCCATGCACAGACAGCTGCAGCACTTTTCAGGACAGAAATTCTGACACGATGGGGGGTTCCCGACTTTATCCTCTCCGATAGAGGTTCCCAGTTTACTTCTGCTGTATTCAAGGAGATATGTGGTAAATGGGGTGTCACACAGAAACTCACTACTGCTTACCACCCACAAACTAACATGACCGAGAGAGTAAATCGTACCCTAAAGTACATGATGGCTGCTTATGTAGAAGATAACCACAAGAAATGGGATCAGTACTTGCCCGAACTACGCTTTGCAGTCAATTCAGCTGTCCAGGAATCTATCGGCATGACCCCAGCGGAGCTTCACCTAGGGAGGAAATTACAAGGTCCAATGGACAAGCTGTTGCATGGCAAGAACCTCTCTCCCGATTTACCTTCCTATGACGTGGTCAATCAGCTAGTTCAACTTCAAGCTAAAGCGAAAGAGTGTTGCCAAAGGGCACAGAAAAGACAACTGCGGAGCTACAATAAGAACCGACGAGATGCCACCTTTAAAGAGAAGGACCGTGTGTGGCTACGGAATTTTCCCCAATCCAGTAGCCGACAAAATTTCAGTGCAAAACTTGCACAAAGATGGAAGGGTCCTTATCGAATAATAAAGCGGCAGGGGCCCATAAATTACCAAGTGGCATTGGAGTCCTCCGGGGAGGATGTGCGTACTGTGCATGTGTGTAATTTAAAAGCATGTTTTCCGACAGCCGAGGAGATAGAGACCCAGGAAAGGAAACGACTCCTTGAAATATTCCAAGAATCCTCAGAGGAAGATAAAGAGTTCTTGGGATTTTAATCCACCCTTTTCTACAACCTTTGGTTACTTTCTCTTGGGGGGGAGAGTGTAACAGTGCAGTAAACTACACGGCTATATGTTTTACTTTCACTTTCATTTTAACGGAAAGGGCGGAGTGCCTAATAAAGGCTAATTAACGGCGGAAAGGGAAATGAAGGCAAGGTATATTTAGGGTGGAAAGAGGACACGTGACCGGGGTTATGTTGGTTTGACCTGTGAGAGTGAGTAAAGTTAGCGATTATTACCGAGTGGAATTGACAATGTCCTGTGTTGGGTGAACTGAGGCTTCCTGCCCATACTGTCTGTTGCGACGTGGAGTCTGGGGATTCCAATGCGACGCACCTTAAAGACTGGCTGTTGTAAGTGAACAGTTCACTCAACAAACAAGGGGTTAACTTTCCTCCGGGAGCTTGACGAGGTCCTACTACACTCTCCTGTTGCGATTTCGTCTGCCAAAACAGTTTGGCGTGAATATGGACACTTGAATCTGCCTGTGTGGACGCCCAGTTAGAGTGTGAACAGTATTACCCAGTTTTTGTTGAAGTAGTGTTTCGTATTTGTGTGAAAACTGAACTCCAACGTTGAGAACATCCAACGTTGAGAACAATACATATATTTATTTGCTTATTGTTTTCTTTTGGTTTCAAAATCAGTAACTTTTGAATGATGTGATGAGCATTAAGTAATAAATTACAGTTAAACTGAATTCTATTTTGAAATATTTGTTTTTGTGTGTAATCAGTGGTTTTCTTTGCTTTCCTGGGTTGTTTAATTTTTGTCAGTTTTTATAAAACTGTCTGGTGCCCGAATTTTCTTTGTAAAATAAATAATTTAAGATTAGGGCACCACCCACCACTGTTACATCTAAATTGTCGAAACACCCTAAATCCACTTCAGTTCGGGTTTAGAAAACATCATTCAACTGAAATAGCACTTTGTTACTTTGTTGAACAACTTAAAGCCGGGTTGGATAAAGGGGGGGGTGGTGGGTGCCATATTTTTAGACCTGAAAAGAGCTTTCAATACGGTAAACCATGACATCCTGTTATCTAAATTGTCCGCTCACAATATTTCTGATGAGACATTATGATGGTTTAAATCATATTTAGAGAATAGGAAGCACTGCACAAGAATTAAGAGCATTATGTCTTCCTTTTTGGACTGCTCAGATGGGGTGCCACAAGGCTCCGTCTTGGGCCCTCTCTTGTTCATTGTATTTATAAATGATCTTCCAGATATTTGTCCTGAAGTTCAAGTACAAATGTACGCCGATGACGCTGTGATATATGTCCATGCGAAATCAAGTCAGAAAGCAGCAGCTGTGCTCCAGGGAGCGATGGAAAAAATCTCAGATTGGATGGTACAATCGCGATTGACATTACATTTTAGTAAAACTGTCAGCATGTTTTTTTTCAATAAGGAATACTTCTCACGCTGCGCCGGAAATTAGTGTAAAAGGAACAATGATTCAAGAAGCAGAGTCTGTCAAGTATTTAGGCGTAGTGTTGGATAGGACACTGTCGTTTAAAAAGCATGTTTCAAAATTAATAAAAAACGTAAAATGTAATTTATCGCAGTTCAGATACATTCGGCCCCAAATGAGCACAGACGCAGCCAACCTCTATATGCATGCGATGTTATTTTCACATATTACATACTGCATCAATCAGCTCTGTGTTACAACCGCTTCAAAGCTTGTATAAACAAGCACTTAAAATTTTAGATAAAAAACCTGTTTCATATCACTACTGTAACATTGTGAAGAAATATGGATTATTAACTTTTGAAAATTTTGTTTTGTTTTCAAATGTCAATTTAGTATATAAATTCTTCATGATCTGGCCCCCCAGCCCCTGAGAATGTTGGTGAAATTATCTTGTGAAGAGGCAGGACTTAGAACAACGCGAGCCTCCTCTAGAGGAGATTGTTATGTCAACTTCAGGTCCTCTACCTTTGGACAGAATTGTTTCTCTGTGAAAGCTGTAAGGATGTGGAACGTGTTGCCGTTAACTGTTCGTGAGAGTAATACCTTGCAACAGTTTAAACTTAACTTGAAGAAGTGGTTGAAAGCTGGTCAGATTTGTGAACATTAACACAAAAATGGTTAATTGGGTATTGTTAAAAATGTAAGAAGTTAATATTAAAAGAAAAGAAAGAAATGAGAATTATAAATAAAAAAAATTGTAAATATTGTAATTTTATGTTTGTAGAGGTGATCCTTTTGCTGGTGCTGTATCTGTATTTATATTGTAAATGAATTCATCAGTAAGAATGCTCTTTGTCCACTGTATAAACCTGCTGTCATTTTTGCCTCTGCCCAGGGACTACAGATGAAAATTAGCTTGACGCTATCTCTGTCTTGTGTAACACATTTGTTGTACAATGTCCCTGTCAAATAATCAAATAAATGAATAAATAAAAGATCATAAACTCCTCTCTTTTACAACACTAACCAGGAAGAGACTGACGTGTTAGTTCTCCTTTCTGTCACACCAACTTTGTCTCAACAAAAGCAATAAAGAATAAGCAATCAATGGATGTGACAGTATTATATGACCCACTAGAAGGGACAATCAGTCTTATTTTTTTGGAATCAATTTTTTATATAACTGACTTAAAGTTATGAACAGTCTTAAAGAAAAAAAAATGGTTGACTAGCTTGTAAGACTAGTTTCAGTGGTTTATGCAACCGACACCAGAAGCTCCACCCTCTTATAAAACCCACCAGGAAGTGACTAATCATAATTTCTACCTTTCATTTTTACTGAAGGCTAAATCGAGTCGTGAAGAACAGAGGAGGACACAATATATTAGGGTTTTTGTCTATTTCTGAATGAACCTAGATTAGATTTTGATTGTAATAGTTATTTACTCTTTAAACCAAATTTCAGAAAGTGAAAGTAAATTGTAGACCTTTGGATCTTTTACAAGACGAGGAAATGGATTCAAAATCTGTGGAAGAGCTTTATTGTCCTGTTTGCTATGAAATCTTCAAGGTTCCTGTTTTTCTGTCCTGTAGTCACAGTTTCTGTAAAGAGTGTCTACAACAGTTCTGGAAAACTAAGAAAACTCAGGAGTGTCCTGTCTGCAGGAGAAGATCCTCAAGAGATGATCCTCCAGTTAATCTCACATTAAAAAACTTGTGTGAGTCGTTCCTGGAGGAGAGAAATGAGAAACGTTCATCAGGATCTGAGGAGATCTGCAGTTTACACAGTGAGAAACTCAAACTCTTCTGTCTGGAGGACAAACAGCCTGTGTGTTTAATGTGTATTAATTCACAAAAACACGACAATCATAAATTCAGACTTATCAGTGAAGTGGTTTCATCATATAAGGTAAGACAAATGTTTCCTGTTTCACATGTAAAGAACAATAATTAGTCATCTACCATATCATTAGATACCATAACATTCATACATTACTATTTCAATGTCATTTTACTAAACTTTATTACTCTGTGGTAAAAGTATTTGCCCATCCTGATTTCTTATGTTTTTGTGTCTCATACTAAATAGTGGGGCCTTTTTCATAGATATCATTATTTTGCAAAAAAAGAGCACAATTGAGCGGTGAACTTTAGTTCAGCCTCATTGGAGGGTTTTCAAGCATGAACTGCCTGTTTAAGGTCCTGCCACATCATCTCAATTGGTTTCAGCTCAGGCCTTTGACAAGGCCACTCCAAAACTGAGCTTTTTTGAGCCGTTCAGCGGTGGATTTCCCTTACGAAAAATAAGTTTATTCAAGTGTGCTATTAGAATTCTTCTTTAAAAAAAATAATAAAAAAAGAAAGTATACTTTCAGTCTACTTTTTATGTACTTCTCAGAAATATACTTTATGTACTTCTCAAAAATATACTTTATGTACTTCTCAGAAATATGCTTAAAATTACACTTAAGTGTACTTGACTGACTTATACTGAGAGAAAAGTCCAAGTATATTTGGCCTATACTTGTACTCAATCTTTTGATCGAGATATATTTAAAAGTATAATTAAGTATTCGAAGTATACTTGGCTTGTAGTTGGGTTAACTCTTTTGATCGAGTAGCCTATTAAATATAATTTTTTTACATAGTTTTTCATATACAGTCTTATGAAACTTACATTTTTTGAAAATATTGATTAAAATATTGATATAAAACAGATAATGTTTCTAATTCTGCGTATCTGAATTTTTGTGTAGGCTAGCCCACTGGTAGTGTACAGGAATTTACTTTAATTCTACTTTACGCTTTCCCCACCATTGCCTGAATTTTCCAGCTGTCCATGTTTTCACTGTTATACGGTAGGGGGCTCTATGACACCTTGGATCTCCGGATCAAAACACAGGAGAAGAAGAAGCTGAAACAAGTGATAGGCCCTGTCCCAAATGGCGCACTTCATGCGGACTTTCGGTCTCGTGGACTTAAATTGCGCGTGCTCGCCGAGTCCGTAGGCCGTCCCATTTAGCATTTTAACGCTCTGAAGTATGCTCAGCAGCGCCCCCTTTGTACCCTTGAAGCGGTCTTCCGCGAAGCCCGCATAGATGCAGGCTCCACGCACTTTAACTACCCAGGAATCCTTGCGAAAGGCCAATCAGACAACGGATGGGAGGAGATTTCGCTCACGGACAATTGTTAACATGGCTGAGAAGAAAATATTTAAGGGTAATTATCATTACGGTTTTTATGACAAGTTTATACAAACATTATGATCATCGACCAGTGGTTGATGTCTCAAACATAGGCTAATAATAGCGAGCTGAATAATACGATCGCATTATGATTCATTAAATAAATAAAACAGAATGTCAGGGCTTTACTGAGTCATATGTAAACACAACAACAACAGGCAGCATATTTCCCCGAACCTGTAGCTCCTGTCCATAACAACAACCAGACCGTCTTCCTGTTTCCGGCGTGACGGTCGAGTCTGTCCCAAAAATACCTCTCAATGCGCCCTCGCGGACTCGCGCTAAGGGCCCTATAGGTCTGCACTACATGACGTCACCGAAGTGTGGACTCTGAGGAAGTCCACAAGTCCGGAGTGTGCCATTTGGGACAGGGCCATAGAAGATTGCTCACACAAATGTAAAATAACGTGATCTTCAAAAATTAAACTGCGTGTAAATCAAAACTGCTTAATGTTACCAAATTAAATGAAGCGTAACCCATGAAGAGAAACGACTGAAGCTTTGGGGGTGTTAGACTCGATCTACTCCATCTGTGTTTTCATCATCGTTCTGAATCTGATCAAGGCTGAGATTGTATCAACTTTTTTGTTTAAAATGTTGCCTTTCTTTATGAAACTTACCAACATTCAAGTGTTGATAAAAAAGGATGCATGAAGCTAATAAAATGTTTTTAAAATTAAAGTACAGTTAAAGGTATTTTTTCAAGTATAAAAAAAATAACATTTGAACATAGTAGTATAGGCTTACTGCAAGTGCAAATATAATATATAAGGGACCGTTCGGTATTTATGGAAAAGGCTACCGGAGGAAAATAGGGGAGGGTCATGTATTTTTATTCTTTGTTGAGGGGAGGGTCATCCAACTTTTTTTAGTCTATAGGGGAGGGTCACCCAACTTTTGTATTCATCAAAACAGCAAAATTTCAAAGTGGCTTGTTTGGTGCATATTTTTTTCCATGTAGTAACAGCTCTCTCGGTCTCGGCCCTCCATCGCTATCAGATGGGTCTAACCCAACAAAAATCAAGTTTGGCGCTGTCTGACAGTGCGCGCGCGCTTCAGTAGGCTACGCGCTCAGAAAAGTGCATTAGAACAGAACGCCAATGAAATGTTTACCCGGCAAAGCTTTAAAGCTCGAGCAAATAATGAACTTTTGGGATTGCGAATAAGTGCAGTGTCCTGTGAGTGTTACTCTACCGCTGCATTAACATGTGATGTGAATGTACGTCGAGTTTTACTGTATTGGGACTGAGGCGCCAGAACGGCAGCTGATGTGCGCTGTAGCACGATATTATTTTAGTTTCCATTCTTATTGTGTTTCCACAACAATGTTAGTGAGCAAATCTACTGAAATTGCCACAATAACAGTGGAGTGTGATGTGTTGGACATAGGGCTACCACATTTTTAAATTACTATTCGTATTATTTGAAGTTAACATAATAAAATACGTAGACCTACACCAAAAAAACTAGTTGAGGATAAATTCTTTAAAATTGGGCAATTCCAGCATTATGGACGTGACATTTGCAGTCAAAACTTGAAATATAAATTCTCAGAAAATGCATTTAATACTGAAACGTCTGTTTATATATTCATACTCTCTTAAGGCGGGCTTACACGGTGCGATTTTTTGCTGTTTTACGAGCTCGCTGATGATTTTTTTTCACTCGGGAGAAATCGCGTGGAAATCGGTTGTGCTCGCATGTTGCGGCTCGTGTCGTGTGCTAGGAAGATACGAACCTCTCGACCTCACGATAATTTTTAAACATGTCTAAAAAGTTCGGGAGCTGTAGGCTTGAATTCGTGAGGTGTGTGCGCTGTGCAGTTGAATGAGCCGATGTGTCGATCTATCTGAATTTGACCAATCAGGAGGTGAAGAAATCCACAGAAGAAAGACGAAAATGGCAGCGCGCGAATTTGGACTATTGAAAGGGAAGCCTACTACTTTATTATGATTTTAGTATCATATTGATTAATAAATGCATGCACAATTATCAGTGAACTTGATAAATGTTGCAGATATGTTTTACACAAACAAATGCCTTTCAACTTGTGTGCAAAATTCTGAATTAAATGAATGTGCAGCAATTTGTACAAATAGAGTCTGTAGCCTATATGTGTAGCCATAATAAGCGCATTTAGTTTCATATTTATTATAATGTTTTTTTTTTTCCATCTATGTGTTGATTATGAAAAGTATAGCCTACGCAATATATCGGGAGACATGGCCAGACATGATTTTGACCACTTCATTAAGTGTTGTTTTGTAGAAAGCCTTTCTTTAAAGGTGGGGTATGTGATTCTCTTTTTTGTAAAAATTTTCAAAATAACTTGAAATCCTATTCCTAACCCACTTACAGCCACTGAGTTAGAAGCACTGAAATGAAAATTAAGCAATTTAATCATCTGTGGAACGGGCAGGACTCGAAAAACTCCAGCCAATCATTTCCAAGACCAGCAGAATCATTGGACAGTAAGTCCGTCAATCAAACGGTTGTACCACACCCCCCTCCCCCCAGCGCGCGTGACCCCCTTCGTGCGCATACTCAAAGTTTGTGACGCATGCGCATCTCGTCAGTAAAGCCGGTTCCATGATTAGTAGTAAATCGTCATTACAATCTCTCGCGCATCTGAGTTTTCGCTCGTGCATGATTGCGCGTCCATGTTCTTCGAATGGGTGGAGTCAGAGCCGGCGTTGGAGAAAAGAAGGTAGGACCATTTGAATTGTATATTTTCAAAATCTGCCGGTCGTTTTCCAAATCACATACCCCACCTTTAAAGTGAATTTCGTTTTGTATAAATTGTATCTTAATTTTAATCAATTTTTCATCAACCAATTGCCTGGATTTAATTAATAAGAAGCAAATATAGCTGGATTTACAAATGCACATCTTGATTGTTGCATGCACACATGTCGAAATAACGACATAACCACAACAATCATCGAATTGTCCTGGTTTGAGACTGTTAAGACACATAACACAAAATATTATTTTTATTTTTTTCGTGTTCGCATTTATGAGGGAAAAAATTTTTACGGACGTGACAGTTCTCCGTTACGGACATGACCGCTCTGAAAGTGACTTTAAAGAAAGGCTTTGTGCTTTCTGTTTGAGGTCTCTGTAAAAGTTTTAAAGTGAATTTCGTTTTTTATTAATTGTATCTTAATTTTTATCAATGTTTCATCAACCAATTGCCTGGATTTAATAAATAAGAATGCCTTTTTTACAATCATTTTGGAGGGTCATAGAAAAAATTATTGCTGGCGAAGGGAGGGTCAAGTCTCTTTTGACTACAGATCTCAAATCTCCTCCGGTGGCCCGTTAAATAAATAACGAACAGTCCCTAAATAGTAAACTATAAGTATAATGTTCAGTTCACTTAAAGAAAACTTGTAGTATAAAACTACTAAACGTCTCAGGTTACGACTGTAACCTATGTTCCCTGAGAACAGGGAACGAGACACTGCGTTGAATGACGCTTTGGGGAACACCTCAGGCGTGACAGGTGTCTGAAATCGCTATCAAATCACGTCAATCACATTGACCGGCGACAGCCCGTGAATCATTAACGTGAATGATTAACGTGCGACCTGGAAGTATATAAGGGCGCCTTGCAAACATGACAAATCACCTTATCGTCTGAAGGGACTGTACGGCAGGCAGG